TCTTCTAGAGAGGATACTTCAGGGAAAACCAGTGAGAAAGGGTTCTCGCTTCAGAACCATCACCTACAACACCAACTTCTTCACCCAGTTTAGATGGGTTCTCAAGAGAACGTACCGCAACCTAGTGCTGAACCCTCAGACCTCCTTCGCCCAGGTAAAAAAAAACATATCATGTTTTGTTTAAAAGGAGCTGATTGGAATGGTTCTCCAGCAGCATCTACTGGACAAAAGGAGTACTGCAGATTGAACCCCGGAATTTTCACTTTTCTTTTTTTTTTTTACATTTTTAAGTCCAGTTTCATTCTTTTATACGGAAGCGGATAAGGGCCACTGAAAAAAAAAAAAAGTTTACTGATTTTAAATTTAATTTCAATTTAGTATTGGAAAAAAGTCAGAATTCTAACACTTTTCTCAGAATTCTGAGATTAAAGTCAGAATTCTGAGAAAAAAGTCAGAATTCTCACTTTTTTCCAATACTAAACTGAAATAAAGCTTAAAAATCAGTTAACCTTTTTTTTTTTTTTTTTTTTCAGTGGCCCTAATCCTCTTCCGTACTTTTAAGTTACTCTGTGTAACAAAGTAATATTAAATTTAAATTGTTCATTATTCAGATATATTTTTTGTCTTCCTGTTTGCAGTTAGCCGTTACGCTCTTCCTCGCTCTGGTTGTTGGAGCGCTGTTCTTTGATGTCCAGTTGGATCAGAGCGGGATCCAGAACAGGTACTTTACTCTTAGAGCATGATTTATAGTTTTAAAACTTATTTTCTGTATCTTATTTATTTGTTGCCTATATGTTTAAAGGTATAGTGGAGGATTTTCTTTTTCTGTGTGGATCATCAAAATAAGTGGTCCTCCTAATTGTCAATCATTCTGCTAATATATTTACGTAAGGCCGTCATTACCCATTTTCCATTTTCACTCACCGTTTTTAAAGTCTGACATGTTGGAAAAACAGCAAATCTTCTTTTGGAAAGTAAGCTTGTAGGATTGATGCAAACTTTTAAACAGAGCGTGCACGAAGAGAAATGGGCTCTGCATGTTCTCACACGCGTTTAATAGGGGTTCCCTCTGGGGAGTGGGTACAGGGTTATGCATGTGCATTCTTTTTTTAAAGTGGAGAGGTTGAGTCTTTTAAAAAAAAAAAAAATGAAAATCCTCCACTATATTTTTAAGTTTGATTGGAAACTTCTGCATAAATAATGATTGTCTTAAGATGGGAAACTGCCAAACTTCAGTGATCTAAAAGCAGCAACTTTTTTAGGCATAAATGTTTATTTTCCACACACATTCATGTAGATAAAAGGGGTCATTTTGTCCCTCTGTTACACTGCATGGATCTAATGTTTATTAGTTCTGTGAGATGGATGTTTTTCACAGGTTTAATGTGGTCCAGGAGCTGAACGTCTCGTGTGTTTTCTGTCTGCTCTGAGCCCGCTCACTGTGAGGTTATGTTTTCAGGACCGGCGCTCTCTTCTTCATCGTGGTGAATCAGTGCTTCAGCTCGCTGTCCGCTGCTGAGCTCTTCATCACCGAGAGGAAACTTTTCATGTGAGTCTGATTCACTAAGCCGCATCTTTTAGATCCTAGAGAATGTTTGACTTTTTTTTATCTAAATTGTCAGGAGGAGAAGTTAGTTTAGTTGCGTTCCGATGAGGAAGATCACTTGCTGCCTTTTTATCTAGAGAAATTATCAATATTGAAACTGATTGAAATGTAGGTGATTATAGTAGTATCAATAATAACATGTAAACAGCCAAATAAGAGCCTCTGATTGGAGGAGATTTACTGATGAAAGCTTCCCTCTCTTTCCGTGCAGCCATGAGTATATCAGCGGTTACTACAGACTCTCTGTCTACTTCCTGTGTAAGATCCTGTCTGACATCATAACTCTGAGGACCCTCCCTGGCATCCTCTTCACCTGCGTCGCCTACTTCATGGTTGGTAGGTAGAACGTTGCTGTTTTTCAAACATTCTTAAACATTCTCCCTTCTGATGCCAGTGGTGGATTGTTGGTGCGTTCTCTGTGCAGGTCTGAAGCCCACAGTGGGGGCTTTCTTCACCTTCATGTTCACCGTGGCTCTGGTCGCGTACACGGCCACCTCCATGGCCATGGCCATCTCGGCCGACCAGACGGTGGTCGCCATCGCCAACATCTTCATGACCGTCACCTGCGTCTTCATGATGGTAACCTATCGTCTCTCACTAACGCTACAAATAAACAGAGGAAATATTAGCTGGATCCTGTGCTGCAGAACACTCCTAACACCGTGTTACTCTGTTGCTCTATACTGACATCCGCTGGATCATAAACACTGTTGCATCACACACACAGATTCAATGATTTAATTTATACATAATTGCATTGATTTTATGGCATATTGCATTATTTTATTCCCAAAAGTATT